CTTGTTCTCTGAAGTGACTTTCCTAAAAGGTACACTACTAAAGATCTTAAGAACTACATACTTCTCACACAAAGCATGAGGGTCCTCAAATAAAGACAAGTGGCAAATGGAGTTCATAGGAAGAAGTCATTGGAGAGTCAGGGGAATGGTACTTACCACACTTCCCTGATATTTAGAATATCTGTGTGATGCCACTGTGACCTGTATACCTTGCCCCAGGACAAAGTCCTGGCACTGTGGATTTAACTAGGCCTTGTGCCCATTCCTTAACCAACCAATCACCATGGCTGGGAGGATCTGATGATCTCATAGGCCAGAACAGGGCCACTGGTTCACTACTGGATCAAGGACTGATGCCAGGCCACCCAAATCCATGGAACCTAAACCCACGGTCCCCAAATGAAAACTGAGTTGCTGTTACCAGAAGGGCTATTGGATGCCAAAGAACAAGAGCAACAAATACTCCCTTGGCGTGAGGGAAGTAGAGGGTATTTGAGGGCTGGAGCTTCTGACACCTTCTCAACTTGGGACAGTGTGGGAGTTGAATGTAAGCTGTGTTACAGTTTGCTGGGGGTGAGTATCTACTCTGAATAAGTTACCCAGTCTAATACTTGGCTTCCTCATCTACAGAAGAGGGTGACAACAGTACCTGTTTCACAGGATTGATGTGAAGATTAATAAGATGAGACTTACTCCATCACTGTTCTCTTGCCACTCAACAGCTCTACGCCCCTCACTGTGGGAGACCTGATGAGTTCCTTTCTGCCTCAGAGGAGGTCAGGTGCTTCCTGTGTCCTACAAGTGCTCACCGTTGTCTGCTTTGAGTTCTCTTGCTGTCTCCTCTAGCACTTAATTTTTAAAATCTCATAAAGTTCAAGAGAGGGCTAAAATGCCAAGAAGATTCTCTATTTTTAAAGCATTAGCAGATCACACTAGAAACACTTGCTCTCCCACTAAAAGACACATGCTCATGGGATTTCTCTGGCAATCCCTAAGAGTCTGAAGGTCTGTCGTCGGCAGCTGGACCAGGGTGGGGACTGGGACTGTTTTAAAATTGTTAAATCTTTAAAAATGCATGCATTACATATTTCCAGCCAACAAAACATGGTTGGATCTTCTGCAGGGCCTGCCTCCTAGCAGTGTCCTTAAGGATGATGGGACCAGCCAAAGACTGCAGCTGGAGTCTGTGGGGCTGCCCAGACAACCTGTCCAGGACGGCCCAGACAACCAGGAGTGTCTGCCTACAGCTCCAGAAATGCGGAAACTATTCACCCAAAATGAGTGAGCAAAGGGCTCCTAGGAGAAAAGAAAGTTTTTAATCAAAACATATCTTACCCTTATTCTGGCCAGTAGGGAACCAAAGCTGAGTGTTTGCGGGAGACTGCTTGCCAGAGCTTTTTTGAAGGCTCACTGGTGAAAAGGATGTGATGAGGTTGTTGATGTTGGTTCTGAAGATGCTTAGGTGCAGGTTAGAAGAACCAAGTCAAAAATGGAAGGATACACTTCCATGCAATTAAAAAATGCTTACACATTTATGTAAAATCATGTGTGTCTGTATACCTATAAAGAAATCTTAAAACATTAAGAGCATATGGGCTCTGGAAGCATACAGACCTATCCTAAAATTTAAGTTTCACCACTTCCTAGCTTGTATGACCACCCTGATCCTGTTTCCTCATCCATTGAATTGGGGTATTTATGGTACTTCATAAGTTTTGAGGATTCGGTGAGTTAATTCATTTATAATACTGTCTCGTGCGTAGTAAGACAGTACCACATATCAGCTGATATTGTTGGTCACTGTCGGGAGTGGGTGAGGGTGAACAGTGAAGTGTACAGTTTTCCAGGAAGCTCCTAACTCCTGGTGCTCCAATCCCATCGAACTCACCTCTATCTTTCTCTCCCCTTCCTGCCTCGGTCCTTGCTGCCCTTGAGCCTGGGATACTTCTCCAATGGTCTAGATGCCAAATTCCTCTCCACCTTTTGAGATCCCTCTCCAGTGTCACTTCTGTGAAGCTTTCCCTGGTACTCGCCTCCCAAACAGAGAGGACCTTCTTCCTCAGAGCCTGGAACTACCTGCTGCACACCGTGTAGTCACGTCACATGGCAAACGTGGCTTCTCATACACTTGCTTGTCGCCGAGGCCAACTGTGATTTCTGAGGACAGAGATCATGTCTTGTAAGTCTGGGTCTTAGGAGCTCCTGGTGCATAGAGATGGTCAAGAAGTATTTGCTGGATGGAAGCACAAAAATGGACAGTGACTTCTCTGAAAAAAAATGAGGCCAGCTGTTCTCCACTCTAAGGAAAAACAGAAAGGAAGTGGACATAAGCTGCATCATGGGAAACTACAGTTAGACACAAAGAATTCCCTTGGTGAGAGTGTTAGATGCCAGACCAAATCCCCATGGGACAGGATGGAATTTCCTGGAAAGGTCTTCAAAAAAGAATACTTTTTATTTTGGGGGTGACTCTGATGTGGCTTTGCTTGAAGGCAGGCCTGAAGCCTGGTATGAAGTTCATAAAACTACCCATGAGCAATTCATGTGATAGTGAAGGGTCTCTGGCTCTCGGTCAGCTGGTTATCCAGATGGCTTCTTGTAACCAGCACTAGGGAGCGGGATGGGAAAGAATGTGGCTGTTTGCCTGAATGGAGGGTGGGAAGTCCCCTTCCAATGAGCCGAAATCCCAGAACATGAGTGAACGGGGTAGCTTGCCAGGGGTCACAAAGTCACCTTGTGTTCAAGAACCCAAGTCTAATGAGACCCGATTTCTTTCTTTCAATGAGAACTGCAGAGTCCAACAGAAAGGAGGAACTACAGGGCAAAGCAGTACTCTTCCGAGTTTGGTCACTTGGTCAGCCTGCCCAGGACGGCTGGACACATGCTGGGCCAGGCCCTGGGCTGGGTGCTGGGCAGACATGGCTGAGCAAAACCTGGTGTCTGTCCTTAATGAGCTGTTAATTAAGAAGATGACACTAAACATTTTGTGATGAAAAATGAATTCATTATAGATAGGAAGTACTATGAAGGGGCAAAATTGTTTGAGAGGAAAAAAGCTAGGAAATGACAGGCTACCCTTTACTGCCATTCCTTTACCGCATTTAACACAGGCAAGGCAAGCTTCTTCACCGAAAAAGGTTCAGAAAAGGCAGAAAAGGTTCATTAAGAAAAAAAAAATCTTTCCAATAACTAACCAGAAAAACTGCAAAGAGGACAGAGAGCCATAGTGTCAGAAAAAAAAATTTAATTTGATGGATGGCCCAAGACTTGGAGGCTAAGATAGGATTTTATACCTAAAGCCCCACATGAATTCAAGTCTTGATTAATTTGCTGGTTGGCCTTGTGAAAGCTTATTAGCTACCTGGGTTTTAGCAAACAAGAGGCTGGGGCCCGCCTCATGGGGTCAATTAGTGAAGATGAGACAAACGGTGTGACAGGTGTTGCTAAGTGCTGTGGGATACAGTGGGCTGTGGTTTTGATCACTTCAAATTAAAACCTTCCTGCTTTGATGCTCACCATCTGATGATAACTGGGTGTGCAGGGTGGCACTGTGAAGGATGTAGTGCTGGTTGGAATGCCCCTCCCTGCATACGGTTATTCGCACCTTCCCAGGGAGGCGCCTCACACACCTACCATCCAGCAGTTACTGCAATGGTTAGAGGTTCCCTTGGGTGCCATGCGGGGGGGCGGGGGAGGGCAGTCTGGCAATTCTGCCCAACCCAGCCTAGTCAATTAGTTGCAGTTTAGTTAGTAAAAGCAAGGCAAGACAATGACATTGGTGCGTGAAACACCGGAGAAGGAATTAAAGCCCTAATTTAATTCCCGAGATATCAAATGTGTTTGGGGTCTAAGAAAATTGCTTATTTACCTAATTTCAAGTGTCAGTCAAGCCCATTTCTAACCGAGGTATTCTTATAACCAATCATGCAGCCAGAGCTAACAGGTGAAAAACACCAAACCAACCACAAGGTATGATGCAATTTGAGCTCTGCTGAGTGGCTACTAAAATCAAAATGAAAACTTTTCTGTTAAAAAGACACAAAAGGGGAAGTGATGGCAAAGTCTGTTGGAAAGACCAAGGACAAAGACAATACACAGATACATACCATATATCTCATGGTATGTAGACACGTAGACATCAGATACATGTGTGCGCCACTCAGAAGGTCTTACCTAGTTGCCATGTGACCTCATGCATGTAGTGGGCTTCAGACGCTTGGAGAATATTCCAGGGTAGGCATAAGCTCGGTGATGGCACGAGTGCTGCAAGTCTGTTCTGTTCACAGGGGTAAGCCAATGCCTTCTTAAGTGACAAATGAGCACTGTGTAAGCAGTTCACGTGTGACCCACACATTCAAGTGGGCACCCCCAAGACCAGGCACTTAGGGGAGCCTCACTCTCCTCCTCCTCTGCCAGAGCCTCCCCTTGCCCCCTCCTTCTGAGCCTTCTGTGCTTGCCACAGAAGCCGGGAGCCAGTTATCAACCTGGGTCCTGGGCTGCAACTCTGAATATGTCTGGAAGGGACATGATGAATGAGAAGACTTAGTAACAGGAACTGGCCTGGGACCCTGTTACAAGTTCTAAACAAATGATGTACAAACCTGTGGCACACACCCAGCTGTGTGATGGGACTGTTGTGGCTCTTTGATTATCCCACGTGTGTTAATAAACTTCCATAAAGGAGTTGATTCAAAAATCAAATGCAGGAAGAATCAAAACAATTATACCTTCCGGAAGATAAAGTCAGAAACATTAAGTAGAATGGGGCTTCTTGAGGCTTGTTTGACATGCTTGATAGCTCAAGTTGACTAACATTAGACCTTTCCTAAAGAAAAGCAAAGCTATCCACAGCAGGTCAAAAATCAGCACTGCAGTTGTTACCAGCAACCACAGGAGTCCAGACCTGGGACCTGGGAGCATGTCTTTAGACTTTTATTTGAAGAAATATAGAAATATGCATCATGTCAAAACCTTATCAGAAACTCAAGAAACAAACGTGCCACCAAATGGAAAAGTCATTTAATTCAAAAGTCATACTTCCACTCGTTTCATAAGGATTGTCACATAAACCAAGCAAATGAAAGAAAGCCAAGTTTTAGAGGCCACTCAACAGAAATGGTATTTTCCTTATAGGTATGTTTAGTGACACAAAAGCACTTTTTTTTTAATTTTAATTTTTTTTAAAGTCTCAACATGGCAAGACTATTTTACTAATAACAGGGAAAAAGTTCTATTCTAGTCACAAATTATTTTTTAATTACAGAATTGGATTCCACACACCAGTCAATATTCAATACTGAAGTTTAAAACAGTGCATAATTTATGGTTTTTAAGAAATTAAAGTGCCATTTTTGAGTACTTTATTGATAATATATCACACAGCACTTTTACAGTATACTCAAAGCCTAAATTAGGAGTTAAACATGCAAATATTTTCTTCTCCAAAATAGGGACAGAATGTCTTTTAGAGTGCCTGTGACCACTAGCCTCGTAGTCGCTACTAAAGGTTTATGAGTTTGATGTTTCTCAACATGACTTTTAATAAGTTAATAAGGAATACAGCTGTAGATAGAAACAGTATGATAAATACATTTTAAAATGGCACTTAATTTACATCTTTGATCATTTTGATAATCAACAGCTTGTTTCTCTAACTTCTAAATCTTAAAGGCTGCAAAGGCTCAGCAGCTGCCAGCTTCTGTGGGTCTCTATATAAGAGTCTGTATCTTTACACATGTAGATGTGTGCTTCACATACACATACACAAACACACACTAATACACAGATACTTTAGAATCATCAGATCAACCTCTTCCCACAGGTACAAGGGTGATCCCGGCACCTGGATTCCCAGGGTAGTTGCTGATAGGGGTCTGTTGGGACAACTCTGTAGAAATGGCACATGCAGAATGTCTTGACCTCTCCAGGACCACTCCAGGTAAATCTGACATGGTGATTACTGACATTCTGGTTCTGATCACACTCAAAACAATTTTCATGTCATAGTAACTGCTACTCTTATATGGGTCTAGGACTGTGCCAAGTCTTTGCTCGCTACAGCATTCCACCTTGAAGGATGTTTCAATCTTGTAGAGTCCTGTAAAAACTTTTGTAAAAATACTAGTTGTGAACTTTTTCTGTGTGACTGATTTTCCTGTTAAGAACTATATTCGTCCCTCTTAAAAAGACAATCCCAGTTGTTCGGTGTGGTTCACCTGTCTCTTCCCTCTACTCCTCGCACTGCTACACATCCAATACTTTTCACCCCCCAATACAAGGGCTTCCAAAAGATGACCACATTTCAGCAAGGGCTGGTGGCTCTGAATGACATCTGAATTCTCTGTATGGTCTCTCCCTCTACTTTGTGAAGTTCTTTAGTTAGATGAGTACTGTAGGCGATGAAAGGAAAAAAGCTAATTATTACTTGTTGGAGTCTTGTCTCAGGCATGCTGTAGGATTGTGCAAGGATCATTGCTCTACTGTTGTCATTTTGATGCTACAATTACAGAGAAGTGGCTCAGCACCCAGCCGAGCAGCGTGGTTGCCAGACACATCTGAACACGAGATAAATTTTTTAAACGCCAGCTAAGGGTGTGTGAGAGGACACCCAGTTGACTTAAAAGACATGTGGGGCAGGGTTGTCTAGGTAATTGATTACTGTCAAGTTTTCCAGAGATGATAGATAACTCTGGGGATAGAATACTAGGACATTCCTTCTAAAGTCAGGTAGCTATTTGGTTTCTTCAAGGCTGGCTATCTACTTTGGTAATATGGTTGCTCATAAAACATTCTTTACTAGGGAAAACTATAAGTGCCATGGTGGCCACTCTTGTACCCGGGACTCCTGTGTCTATAAAACTGTTGGTCCAGACTTGCTTTTGGAAACAGAAGCCAGAGGATGAAAGGTGCCAATAAACAGGTATGAATAGGAGATCTCATTACCTTTAGTTGATTATTTGTCTCCCTACCCTTTAACCACGGATGCCTCTGCAGTCTCTGTAGCTCAAGACAGAACCTCTGGGGTGACTAAGCTTGCTGTTGTCAGGAGAGAAGGACTTCCCTCTGAGCTATAGGCGTGGCACACATAGCCATGGAGTCCTGGAAATGCCTGAAATGTTCTTGTCACTAGTATGGCTCTGTCCTGATAAAGCCAATCTGCCAATACTCAATTGCTTATTCTTTTTTCCTCTTTGCCTCTCCGTCCAAAAAAGGACTCAGCAAAAGGAGCCGAACTAGAATTACATTAAAAAAGACAGTTTGGTCTGACAGAAGTAAACACGTATTGGCTGTAGAAATATTAAAACACTAAGCAAGAAACTGGCTCCAAATTATAGGATACTAAGGAAGGCTGTGCTATACACGGTCCATCCCTACACACTGACTTTTGAAAACAGAAGACAGTATCATCAGTCTTGAGCAGTTTACTTGCTTGGGGGCAGGGGTTTGAAGTTATCTTTCACAGCATGGAATTCTATAGCTATGGAATCCTTTGAGTACCTGAAGGAGGAATGAGAGATGATCATAATGCCCAAGATAAAGATTCAGACCCTGAGTGCATGATCCCAGGGCCCTACAAGAGAAACACAAGGTTCCTAGGAAAGCTCAGGGATCTTGGTCCATAGTCTTCTATTCTGACACGTAGTCCATTCTCCTAATCTGCCCTAAAGTTCCCTATGCAAGCAGGATTAGGGGTGGGGAACATAGATGGTAGCCAGGGTAAAACCTATTGTTAGTCTTCAAATTCCTTCCCTTTGTTGACTCACATCCTTCATGGTTTCTCCAGTTCTGCAGCAAATGATGAGGAGGTGAGCCTGGCTGGGAAAAGGAAGCAGAGCAGCCATCTGTCACAGGCCCAGCATGGCCACAGGGAAGCTGGGAAGGGGTCTACTACCTAAAAATTCACGTTGGCAGCAGCTCTCTTTCCCTCTGGCTTCAAATCAGGGCCAATTGAGGAGGGAGGGACAGGCTTCCAAGTGGTCAAGCTGGGGCTAAGTGCCGATAGCTATGCTTCAGGGAGGAGCTCGCAAAATGTGGGCCTGGGCCTTCTGCTCCTCTACATTAGCTCTACTCAAGGTACCAGCAAGGCAGGTGACAATTTAAAACGTCATAGGTATTAAAACAACAACATGTGGAGTTCTTGTCATTTAGAAAGCACGGTGCCACAGAGCATGCTTGTCCCCTCGAGCCTCACTGAACAGGTTCCGAAGCTGTTCAAAGTCTACAGGGAGTAAGTGTAGCTGGTTTGTGTGTTCTCTTCCTTCTTGGATTCTCAGTAATAGCTTTCCTGGGTCCTATCTTGGTCTCGTCCAGTCTTAATTCTCATTCCCTGAATTGGTAGTGGTAGTGTCCTGCTTGCTGCTGTTAAACTGCATAACAGCTGTGTAATCCTTGAGCTGATGAACCGAATCACAACAGCAAACTCCTTTAAATTTAAAACCATCTATAAGGCTCTAACAGCACAACCTACATCCCTCTTTGGAGTTTTATTTTGGGGTTATAGGAAATTTGAGATGAACAAGAAGGGAAATATTTAGGGAAAGAACAAGCAGCAGCATACCAAGGACCCCAAATCCTAAGAAGCCAGTTTTTTTCTAGAACTTATACACACACAACATTTACAAAATAGCTTGGCCTCATGTATACAGCCTTGGAAGATGCGCAGAGGAGTGAGATAGAAGAACATGCAACTATCCCATTGTCTTCTGTCCTGACATCTTGGGGTACCAAGAAATACACCTGAGAAGAAAAATGAAAAAAAAATCTAACTCCTGGCCCCACCTATGTGAATCCTGAGCTTTAGTCTTACTACTGAGCAAGAGTTCTTTGAAAAATTCATTGCCTGAAAATGCTTTCTTTCTTCAAATTCAAAGCCCAAGAAAAGCTAAAAAACACATGTGGATAAAGAAGACTGAAGACCATCAGTGTGTCATGTCCACCCATGAGAGCCAGCAGAGAGTGTGTAGAAATGTGTCTTCCTTCCTCCAGGCCAGAGAGGGGATGACCTTGACTGTTCAACCCTGCCTCCTTTCTGTCTCCCTCTTAAACACACCTACTCAACAATCAAAGCTTAAATGTATGGAGCAACTAGCTTAAAGATTATCAAATATAAAACTTTGCTATATAATATTTCAAATCACTCTATTTACAAGTTTATCTTTTCAAAAAAAAAAAAGTAAAAGATACAGTAATTCAACACAATTCAAGTTTTTCTTTTCTTCTTTAAACTTCCCTAAAGAGGAATTCCAGAAGCAGGAAATACTCTGGAGCGACCCTGCCATCCTGAGAGGCTCTTGGGGAGCTTGACAGTCCATCATTTTGGAGTCTGTCTGCCCAGAGTCACTCTTGCAAGGACATTTGAATGTGGAAGATACTGGGAACTCTGTTCCTCTGAAGGTCAAGTGCATGTGAAATGTCCAGGCCCAACTTCCCCATACCTGGTAGTCTTCTATAAGACCCAGCCCCTTCTGGACCAGGAAATTCTCTTTCTCAGAAGGTACTCATTCCACCTTCCATGCCCCAACCTTTTGGTGTTCTCCTGAATCATAATGGCTTACAATATTAGTCTTGTGCCTCAAAAGCCTGAGAAACAATTCCAATTCCCTTTTTCTGAGTGGCAGTGAACATATATGTCCTTTAAAACTACAGACCATAGGGTTAGCCTGGGAATCATCCTTGAAAGCCACCAGGGCACTAGTGCTCAGCAGCCCAGCACACTGCCAATGGGGCTGGTCAGTGAGGGGCTCGAGGCAGGCAGGGACAGGGAAGGGGCACGGAATGAGAGACCATGAGTGAGCAAGTCACCCACGGGGAGGCAGCGTACTGAACAAACACCATTGCATAAAGAACAGAAATACTAAGCCTGTATGTAATTTAATCTCAAGAGGTTACTAGAGTTTGCTCCAAATATATCCTGATGCTGCTGAAATTCATCAGAAAGGGAACAGTTTCCAGCCGCTATTCTGTCGGCCCCAAGCAGACCACTTTCATTCCTTGACTTTCTGCTTAAGGTTTTTGGAAAATCATTAAAAAAATGACCAAAAAGGGGGGAGAAAAAAATATGTCATGCAGAAAGACTGTTATTTTTTTGGTTTGGTTTCAGAGTAGGTTGGGTTGCCGTGGTTACGAGGTGATGGCAGCCCTCAGTGGCAGAGAAGTTCCTAGCTTGGGAGGGGGAATGTGGGGTGTGTGTGTTCTCTTGCACGAGAGGATGGAGCTGAATTCTGCTGATGCTTGGCCAAGGCTGCTAGGAGATGGTGAGAGATTGCATCTTATGTAAACAGTGCCATAACCCCTCTTCCTCCTGCATGCAAACAGACAGACCCAGTTGCCTATATAGCACTGAGGGTCTCAAGTATTTAGAAGTGGGGTAGAGAGAGTATCTACTGTAAACAGAAGCAACGGGCCCAGCCTGGGCCTCAGAGCCAATGCCCAGCCTACCTTGTTACAACTTATCTCCTCTTGTGTTAGACTACACTGCATGCTCTTGAGGACTACTTACATCTTTCTTACTTCCTTTTTTGGAAGGTTGGGGTTTGGATGACTGCTGAAACAAAATGAATGCTCCCTATTTTGGGCGTTAAATGAGAGGAATGGCTTTGCAAGCCTTTCCTTTGGTTATCAAAATCAAATGGCTTCCACTGCTGATTCACTTTTGTTCCTTGCAGCATCACCACATGCCAGCTGACATGATCATGGGGTTGGGTGACACAGAGTTCATAGAAACATTCGTGTTGACAGGTAACACAGTCACCCTGCATTTCTCAGTGGCGAAGAGAAATGGCCTGCAACACTGGAATCAGCAGTTGTCATGGATACCATGGAAAGCTCAGCAGGTCTGCTGGGGCCCACAGTTAGAGGAACTCCACGTAGTTCTCAGGTATGAGGCCAGTCTTTCCGTTCAGAGTTCCCTCCAACCAGCCGGGCTCCTGAGATGGATGAACTGTGCAGGAAGAGGGGAGAGAGAGCAAGTAAAGAAGATGTTACAGATAGGGCAGGTGGCAGATATATATAAGAGAGAGAAAGAGAGCGAGAGCGAGAGAGAGAGAGAGAGAAAACAAATACAAATCAGTGCAATCGCTTGTTATATTACACATTTCTAGGACTTATTTAAACCAGGGGTTCTTAACTTTTTGTGGGACATAACCTTTGTAATGAAGGTTATTCCAAATGTTCTTTTAACACAAAAAGAAACAGAGATGGTCAGAGTTTTGCACAGAATTTTAGGAGTTTCCTAGACTTTCTGAAGTTAATTGGTTTAAACTATAAAGGAGTGACAGATTTCTACTTTTTAGGTTAGAAGTCAGTTACATTGCTCCCTCCATAAATTTATCTAACCATCCATCCATCCACCTATCCATCCATCCATCCATCCACCCACCCATCCATCCTTCCTCCAACCCATCCATGGTACACATCTACCTAACCCAGTACTGCCTATCTACTGAGTAGAGTACCCATGGAGGAATGCTAAGAGCTAGTCTTTAAAGATACTTAGCATGCATTTTGCTAATCTAATTAGGCATTTCACTTTCCTTTAAATCCTTAACCTCTGCTTCTAACCTCTTTGCAAATTCCTTGTGTTTTTCCCTGCGTTCTATAGCTTTTGAATAGCCCCCTCTCTGTAACACCCATACTCTTTCTTAGTTTTCTTTCCTGTTCTCTAGAATTTTCCACTTTCCTACACACAAGACTTAAAGCTGTCTTCTTCCCCTCTCTCTTGCAAGTTTCAAAAATCTGTCTCTTTGATTTTTCAATATCCAAAAAGTATAAACTAATTTCTGTGATACTACAATCTATCTTCAGAAATTACTGGGATATTGTAAAGAGTATATAAAATGCAGCTGAGTCTGTAAAGTTTAATAGCAGAAAGAAAGAGAGAAGGAATCACGGGACCTGGAAATGGGGTAGGGGGCATTCATGCTTGTGAACTGGGAATATACAAATCACTCTTAATGGGAAAGGCAGTGTATTTGCTCTTAATGTATTAGGAAAACTCCAATTTTCTGAGATTGTTTGGAAAGAATGAATTTTCCCCCATTCCCCTTCCTAGGCTAAGTGAGCTTGTTTTAGAAAAGCATTTCCACCCCCATTGGTACTATATAACTCTAGTTTCAGTTTGTAGGGAAAGAAGCAAGAACAGAAACAAAAGGAAGCAACAGGGAAGTAGCAAAAGGACACACATCGAGGCCTGCAGAAGATGCAACATCAATGTAATCTCAAAATGCTTCTTCAGGAAAAAACAAGGTCAAACATCTATTAGTTGGCCTCCAAAATGCTTGCATAATTTTGTATCACTAGGCTCCAGGAATAAACCCAAAATCGTGAATGTACTTCAGATTCATGACACCTATACAAGGAGCAGTCTGGAAGAGAAGTCCCATGGAAGAACACAACACAACTTAAAAGCAACCTGGCCTACCAATGATGAAACTCTCCCAACTCACCCCTAAGATACTAGCTCCCAAACCACTGACTTCTGCCCATCCATCTAGATGACAATGTTAAGATCACTGGAATTTCTGCACCAATAAAGTGGTTATAATAAAACTCTCACTCTGTTAATGTATTCCTTTGAGGTTCCATGGGCCAATTTGGAGAAAGCAACCAGGAGGGAGCCAGGACTCAGTTGGGCTGGTCAATAGGGGACCCTGTGTCATTTGACGAGTTACTTGGACTGGTCAGCAAGGCTCTCTACTGGCAAAACCTTGCTAAGGTTCTGGTCTCAACAGCCACCCAAGCTTTGGGAAACCTGAGATGTTCAGAACACAAACAAACAAACAAACAAATTCACTCCCTAAAATAAAAGGCCTAGAAAGAATAACCAACCAACCAACCAACCAAACAACAACAACAAAAAGACCCCTTCCACTTAACAGCAGAGCTCCTAGTTGAATTGTTACTCTGCCAGATACATCAAGTCCCTCACTTTCAGACATTCTCCCTTCCTGGCCAGCTGTTCAAACACAGCTCAGGTGCTAAGGTGGTAATGTCTACAAACATTAAAAATAGAATTTGCTGAGTAACAGAAGAGTGAGAAGGGAAGGCCCTCCAAACTGAAAACAAGAGCTTGCAGCCCTCAGATTAGACTGCTGATTCAGGGGTCTTCAAGCTGGTTCATTAAGGCATGCTACCAGACCATGTCATCCAAGTCATTTGGACGCTTATTAAAACTGCAGATTCCTGGACGTGGGGCATACCACTTAAAACAGAATCCCTAGGAGCAAGCCCAAGGATCTGTATTTTTAACTCATTCAAAGAAAGACAAGGGTTATGACTTTTCTGTGCCAAATGCCTCTGTAATGAGGGTGGTAATAAGAAAATGCAAATCCTCATGTACTGATAGAGGAGGAAGGCAACATCAAACAACCTCCTCCTCACCCCAACTTCTGTTGTCTTCTGTTTACTGTTCTCCCACTTCATGGCTCAGCTGAAACCTTACCTCCTTCATAAATACCAGCATGGCATCCAGTCTATCTGTTCCCTCTTTTCTCCAAACTCCTGGAATGCTCACAGTACGTTCTACACATTGTTCACGGGTCCTATTAATGCTGTTCAAATGTGTTAAGCTTTGCTCCCCACCCCCACCTCTTTTTAGGACATTTTGATCTGTATTCTATCACCTACTGACTCCTCTCTGCCTGGAGAATTATGATAGAAGCTAACACTATAGTGACCAGGAAGCAGCCAATGGGCTCAGCGCTTTAGACATCTATCAATTTATTTGATCCTAAAGATCCTAGCTTGTATTTTACTATCTCTACTTTACAGATGAGAAAACTAAAACTCAGAAAGGTAAATTTATTTGTGTAGGATCACAATGGTAGAACTAGAATTTGAATCCAGCTTGTTTGACTCCACAGAGACCAAGCCCTTTTCTATACCATTATACCTCTATTCAACCAGAGAATTTGATCTTTGGGGATAAGAACAATACATATGCACATACTAAGAATGCACAAATACTTATGTATGCACATACCAAGTGGTAGGCTTTTGGCTAAGTGCTTTGCCTGCATCATCTTTTTTCATCTTCAGAATGACTGCAGAGTTGGTTCTGCTCTTATGCTCATTTTACTGATGAGAAACTGAGGCTCAGAGAGGTTAAGCATCTTGCCCCAAATTACACGGCTGGCAGGTGATGGAGGTAGATCTAAACCCAGGACATCTGACCCCAGAGTCGGTGGTCTAACCACTATTGCTTTTGCCTGCCCCAATGCTTTGGACATCAACAAATGCTTGTAAGTCCTTGTTGAGCTGAACTGAGCCAATGTCCAACTTTCTGAATTGTAACCAGTGTTCAATGTGCTATATAAACACACAAAGTGTTTCAGTGAGTTGCCTAAGCAGTGCTCCCACCCAGCAAGCATATAATGTAAGCTGCTGCTGACATGGATGAGCTTCCTGCCAAACACTTTCTTTCAGCTCCATCCATATATATACTCCATACACCCCTGTATACACAACTTATGCTTTCTCCTTTCCTTCTCTCACTGTGGACAAGGAGCAAGCATGTGACTAAGATCTCTAATGCCTGGCTGTTCCAAAGGGAAGAAGAACTGGCTGGTAGAGGCACAGACTCTTGTGTAGTTGAATACATTTACTCATTTAATAAGCATTTACTAAGCACCTACCCTGTGTCAGACACTGTGCTAGGGGACCTTACACATAGTACAGATCAAGCAGAAAGATCCTCCTCTTGGATAGGAACTATATATCAATAAATAAGCACGTAATTTTAGGTAGTGATGAGGGAAGAGAGACTGGGTTAGGAATATGGGTATGGAGGGGAGCTCAAAAAGCTAAAATCTAAATGATCTAAAAGAGATAGCCAGGTAGTGGATAATGCAACTGCAAAGGCCCTGAGGTGGGGAAAAGCTTGGTGTGATTTCAGAACAGTGGTCTGAAAATTTTTCTCAAAGACCCAGATCATAAATGTGTGTATCTATTCAATTGTACATTATAGCTCCAAAGATAATATGTAGATAGAGTCATGTGTGGCTATGTTCCAATAAAGCTTTATTTATAAAAACAGACAGTGGGCTGGATTGACGAGGCAGGTCATAGTTTGAGTTTGCTGACTCTAGCTGAGGACATAGGGAAGGCCTGTGAAGCTGTAGTGTATTGAGTGTGGAAAGGAGGGGCCAGGGGCAGGAGCTAGACTGTGAGGAAAGGAGGGGCGGAGGGGGGCAGGAGCTCCTCATCAATAATTCTGGGAGGAATAGGAGGCCACCGGAGTGTGAAGTAGAATAACATGATGTGATTTTCAAACATCACTCTGGCTGCTGATAGGGAATGGGTTGTGGGGACAAGAGGGGATATGACAAGACTATGTAGAAGCTGGTAGAAGTACCTGAGTGAGAGATGTAGGTGGCTTGGGCTTATGTTTGGATTTGGCAGTAGAGATAGCTGGGGAGTCCAAAAGACTTCAGTGAGGACCCCCCCCCCCAAGGAGTAGCTCAGTGGAGTAGCTTGGAGGTCCCCTGGGAGATGTTCTCTATCTGCAAAGGAAACCTGGGACAGCCCTGTCTTGCACTTATGCCATACCCCATACCCTAGGAATGAATGAATCCAGCCAACCTCAAATCTTGAAAGTATCTCAAGAACCCAATTTTAGTGAATAGCACGTGAATTTTCCAGGTATCACTGATCACGCTGCCATAAAATGACTAATGTTCTTGAGAACACGAGTTATTTCTCTTTCCAGCTACTATCTGAGGTGCTCTTGGGGGAAATAGGCTATTTCCTAGTAGACTGGCATGGGCTGACAGTGGAGTTATTTCCAAGTATTGCACACCCATCCCCCACTGCAGGAAGTTCAAAAGCTGACTGAGCAGCTACTCCAGATTCGCAGCACAGACCCCTGGAATCCAAAGACCTGGAGATTAATCATTATGAAGTAACAGTTTCCCCTCAAGGTCCCTCTCCTCCTTTCTCTTCCTTGTTCACTCTTCTTGATCCTGAAAAAGACAACACACACACACACACACACACAAAACTTTAAGCCTATCCTTAAGAAACTTTCTTCCTATTGGTCTGATGATTTAATCTGACAGCTACAGAGCAGCCAACATAAATAGCTCTTACCTGATGTCTCCAGCAAGAAACTAGCTGTCTAACTGCTAATGGCTTTTTCTCCCCTAATGCCTGATTTCTCTGATGGAGGTGAAAGGAGGGAGGACATGGGGTATATGTATCATTTTTCTATCACCACACAAAGCAGATTTATGCGGCACCTGGGTGGCTCAGTCGGTTCAACGTCTGACTTGGTTTTGGCTCAGGTCATGCTCTCGGGGTTGTGGGATCAAGCCCAGCATTGTCAGGCTCCTCGCTCAGTGGGGAGGCTGCCTGGGATTCTCCTTCTCTGCCTCTACACTTTCCCTCGGGTTGTGCGCTCTCTAAAATAAATAAATCTTAAAAAAAAAAAAAAAGTGGATTCAAATTTTGTCAGATCCTTCTTTGACTGCAGTTCAGTTAACACCATGGGGTGTTTTCTTTGGGGTTTCATCTTGCCTTTTGCTCTTCAGGGAATCTGAAAGGGCATTCCTAGTTAAAGACAGACTAATAATGTCAATGACCTCTACCGTGACTCCCAGAGACCACAGGAAGGCTTGGGTAAGTCCTCTGACTTACTAAGCCAAACCTCTTTCCTGCTCTCCTTTATCATTATAGGATTTATGATGATGACCAAGTTGTGTGGTGCGAGCAGTCCCCATACCTACGAGGCAAAGCACCCCTCAGGGAAGGAAAGGATTTGGCAGATAACAATCACCTAGATTGCTTTTCTTATCTTTGTGGTTGGCTACTTAAGCTACTTCAAAAAGGACACTTAAAAATAGAAGGTGGGACGGTGTGCTCTCTGTCTCTAGAGAGCAACCTCTTTGGAGAACAGTTCACTGTAACTGAATTACCATGTGAGCGAGTAGTCTCCCCACCCTCACCCAGGTGTATCACCAAGAAAACAGAAAACACAGGTGCTCACAAAAATCTGTACACGCAGGTTTATGGCCACCATTACTTTTAACAGCTAAAAAGTGGAAATAATCAAAATGCCATCAACTGATGAATGGATAAATAAAATATGGTATATCCACACAATGGAAGAGTACTCAGAAATAAAAAGGAAAGCAGTCCAGATGCATAGTCCAGCAGGGATGAACCTTGAAGATACCGTGCTAATAAGGTGGAAGCAGCCAGTCACAAGGATCATATGCTGTATAATTCCATTTATATGAAATATCCAGAGCAGACAAATTGATGATGACAGCAAGTAGATTAGTGGTTCCCCAGGTTTAATAGAGCAGGACTGGGGGTAAATGGAACACGGCTGCGAAAGCATATAGGGTTTCTTTTGGGGGTGATGAAGATATTTTGGAATTAGATAGTAGCGATGGTTGCAAAACTCTGAATATACAAAGAACCATGGAATTGTACAGTTTAAGTGGGTAAATTGTATGGTATGTGGATATCTCAATAAAGTTGTTTGGAAAAAAAATGGAAGAAGGCTGCACTCAAAAAGAGGAGTTGCAAACAAGATACACATACATACACATACCTTTTGAGAGTGTAGACCAAGTTTGCCCCTAAGATCAGGAGTTCTTTGTGCAGTCACAGTGAATAGCTGATAGGAACATGACAATTTGCCCACAGGAGCAGGGAACTGGGGTTTAAAGGACAGACTTTGAATTCTGGATTCACCTGTAAAGGTGGGAATGTCTCAAATCCTGCTCATCTACAGGCAGAAGCCCTGCCCCTGCTGACAGAGTAGGGCACAGAAGCCTGGCATGCAGCCCATGCAGGTTTGCTGCTGTGAAGTCTGTGGCTGGGACTCCACCACATGGGCCTCTTCGGGCAGAGCACACTTGTCAATGACATGGCTCTGGACAGCCTTCAGTGGACCCACTTCACCTCAGGTCCGCCAGGGCCTGAATGTTCCAGTTGCTGATGGGAGAGGCAGCTGGGCTGGCTGTTTGTGCACTTGGATATGTAAAGCACCCACATGAAAGTTAATGGAGCAAAAGTTTAAGGACAGTGCTTTTGGGGCTTAGAGAACCATAAAGAGGACTTGTGCCCAGTAGGCCACATACAGTTACGGGCTCACCCCTGCCCCTGCTGGCTCAGAAGTGTGACCCAGGAATCCCCCAGGTGCCCTGTGATCTGTTCCCCATTCTGTCTCCCCATGCCTAATTATTACCTCCCTCTTCAATATTTAATGCAGGGGCTGGGCACGCAGGGGCTGTCCCTTCGCATGGGGACGCACTCAAGGCTGTCCTCAGGAGTCCATCTCTGCTCTGGCTGAGAGGCCGCTAAAGACAGCCAGGACTCAGAGAGGCAGTACCTACTGCCCAGCCAAGAGCCAGGCCTGCGTTATATCAGGGACAAATGTAAAAGGGTCACTGTGAACTCTGAGAACATCAGGCTCTAAGATGGTCATAATGATGGCAATCATCATCATGATAATAATAAAACTCAATGCTTCCTATGTGTTGAGTACTATCCTAAATACATGATGTGCACCACTGCAATTCTCCCTCACAACCCTCTTGTTTTTATGTGACAGAGGACAGAACTGAGGCACGGAGAGGTTGTCACTGCTGGAGTTCACAAAGAAGCAAGCAGTTGAGCCAGGACTTGTGCTTTGGTGGCCTGAATCTGGAGCTCAGGTGCTCTAGCGCTAGGTGGGGGACTTGGCTGCCCTGTATTTCTGGCTCTCAGGCAGGTGGTAGGAGGTATGACTTAGGCACTCAGCCCTGAAGGGGAGCACTTGGCAACATGTACTCAGCCCAGCTCAGGAACTTTGCCACCACCCCACCCGAGGTAAGAAGGCAGCCCTAGCAAATGTCCACTTCCTGAAATCAGGCAGCTGTGCTTTGGGTTTCTCCTTTGGGCAAAACAAACAGAGCCTTTCACCCAAGGATCCAGAAAGATTAACCCCAAAGGAGATCTTCATCTGACCAAAACCTCAGCTATCAGAGAGACTCTGTTTTTTTTTCCCCAGAATCCTGCTTTTTCTCTTGGGTAAATGGTAAGTTGTGACAAATGATGACATCAATAGTCACTTAAAAAAATACTACCTTTCTCTCTCTCTCCCTCTCTCTCTCTCTCTCTCTTTTTTTAGGGAGGAAAACAAACAAAAGAACAAGATAAAGGTATATCAAGTAAGTACTAGCTTCCACTTCTACAGTGCAGGTGCCACAAATCCATTTTCAAGCCAGGATACTTGATCAGGACAGCTGGGAGTCTGCAGGGAGATGGGATTGAGGGAGCCTACTCTACACTCCCAACAGTTACGTGAAGGACAAGCAGAGCTGCAGGGAGGCTCACTGACCCAAAGTGGTCCAGGGCCCTGTTATCCTGGGAATAAGCCTTACCTGCTATGAAGAGTGAATGACCCTGAACCCAAGAGGTAAAGAGACACAGAACCTGGGCCTCCGTCTCCCACAGAGCTGACCACTTGCAGAATCCCTGTTCTCTGCTCTGTTGTTTCCTTCCCTCTGTCCTGCCCCCAGACTCTCAATGCCACTGCCAAGTGCTGGGCTGAGTCCTGTCCAGGTACACAATACTCTTAATGTCCCATACACCTCATGAGGCTGTGCCTGTCAAAGACTTCAGTACACTGTCCACTCAGAAGTCCTGCTGCTACTCTCTTATTTTGGGGGAAACACCCCACCACATAAGCATGCACACACGTACACACACATACTTCTTCTCAGTTTTACCCATTCAAGAGAAACTATATATATATATATAATATACATATATATATATTATATATATTATAGTAGTATCAAGGTAGGAACCTTGAAAGCTACAGTTTATTTCTTCCCCTAACCCTCCCATATCTCTGCAAGGGGTAAGAACTCACCATTGTCGAAGACCGTGCCTGCTGTGAACGAGAGTTCTGAGTCATGTTCAGCTTTGCAGGCATATAAGGCTTTTGCCTTCCGGAACGGTGTGCTGTGTGAAAACAGGAGTTTATTTAGCAGTATTTTTAAACCTTCTGAAAGCCCCAGATATTTAATCTCTCTTCTTCCCCTTCCCTGCAAGCCACTTAGTTGTCTCTTGCGGCAACAGCCTGACAAGGCAGCCAGATGGCAAAACATGAGGTGGAAAACTTGCAAAGGTCACTAGAGAAAAATGAGAATTATTCAGAGAAAAGCCATAAGCCCGGAGAAACCACACTTCTTGTGGGGTCACCTTGTGCCATGTGAAACTTTGCTTAGGAGTTACGACACCTGAACAGTGGGAATGCCGGCTGGGACCCATTTTTGGAGCAGGAATTGTTTGGGAAAAGGGAGGTGGGGGCAGGAAAGAGCTTCCTAGTTGCTCTGGAGAACACTCCTAACAGACCTTGCTGAAAACTGGCAATGCTCAGTGAGTCAAAAAGGAGAAATTCTAACAAAGCCATGATTCGGCTCTAGGCCATGGGCTGACATTCGCTCTCCCAGATGTTACTTATTTTTCATTGTGCTGGTGGAGCAGGATTCCAGAGCTGGAACTCCCGGACCCCCAGGGTAGGGCAGGGGATAGACAAATTCTGTGTGTGAGCACTTACGTGAACATGTGTGGGGAGTGTGGGGAGGAAGAAGGGAGAGGGAACATGACATATATGTACATCAAAATTGTTTTTGAAAAGCTCTCCAAGTGGGATGCCTGGGTGGCTCAGTGGTTGAACATCTGCCTTCGGCTCAGGTGGTGATCCCTGGGGTCCTGAGATTAAGTCCCACATCAGGCTCCCTGTGGGGAGCCTGCTTCTTCCTCTGTCTACGTCTCTGTCCCTCATAAATAAATAAATAAAATCTTAAAAAAAAAAAAAAGGAAGAAAAGAAAAGCTTTCAAAATGACTCTAGTGTGCAGCCAGGGCTAAGAGCCACCATTCTAGAGCAGGGGCTGGTAAACTCTTGCTGGAAATGGCCTAACAGTGAATATTCTAGGCTTTGTGGGCTATATGGTCTCTGTTACAATTACTCAGCATAAAACCAGCCAGAGACAACACGTAAATGAATTTGTGTGGCTATGTTCCATCAAAAAGTTACTTAAAAGAAACAGGTGGTAGGCTGGACTTGATCTAAGGGCCACAGACTGCTAATTGCTAAGCCACATTCTAAAGATTAAACTGTAAGAACTGGTAATTAGCTTCAATCAATTTTTGCTTTGATATCCAAATGGTTCCAAACGATCTGCGGACTTCAAGGGTCTTAAGACAAATGACATTTAATGGTCAAAGGCTGGCTCTTCATTTGCTAAAAGTAATCTCTTCTACCTTTAAGCCCTCTGAGGAAGCACATATAGGGGCTCCAGGACAGAGTAACAAAAGAGCAAATAGGTTGTCTGGGTTAAACAATTATTCCAGGGATATATTATTTACTTTAGTTTCATCTGACTACCAGAAAGCCTCCAGGAGCCAGTGTTGTTAAACACCCTGTGGCACACTGATTTCTAGTGGCCAAATGAGATTTAGCTGAGGAAGGGCTGTTTTAAAAAAAGCCCAGACAAAATCGGAAGAGGCAAGGGTCTTGGGTCATTATGAAAACTGTTTATTTCTATGAGTCACCAAATTCAGCTTCCTTTTGGGAAAAAGGAGCCATGGATGGATGGATGGACACTTATACTACAACCAGGCATCTAGAATTTATAGTCTTGGCTCCATGAAAACTGAAGGAAAGATAGTTTAGAAGTTAAAAGTTCTGTTGTGCATAATGATCACAATAAATGATTATCCAGAATTTGTTGCTGAGCATAGTTTACTGTTCTTTTCTCTGGTCTTCTAATGGCCAATAGATGATGACCAGGTGGGAGAAAAGTGGGAAAAAATGAAGTGGATCTGCTCGGAATGAAGGAAAGAAGAGCCATTAGAATTCATCAGCTTCAAGTGGAAAATAGCTCTTCTGGGATAACTGTCATTAAAGTCAAAATAAAGTTCTGCACCAGGGGCATATTCCATGATCTCACTAAACCAAGTCTGCATGTTGTCAGCAAGGGCCAAACATCCACTGTGCAACTTCCCATGGAGGGCAAAAAAGTTTGGTTTTGTTTTTGAGGGAGTGGGAGCTGAGAGGAAGAGTTGCCTGGTAGTAAAAAGTGATAAAATGGCCCAAACCCCACACTTCCAGGTAAGTAGAGTCTGAAAGGTGGAAAAACAATCCATCTGACATTAGCCAGGGTCACTGTCCTGTGAGGTCAGGGCACAGCAGTGGGTGGAGAGCACAGACCAGGGAAAAGAAAAATCAAAGGTGAGGGAAAGATCATCTGAGGCAAGGCTCTTCCAGCTGGATTTTCATAGAGGTTACTTATTAACTTTCTTAAATAAAGGGAATGGGACAAAATGGGCAAACCAGGCAAGCCAAGTGGGGTATCTGGCAGGAATAAAGCAGAGGGAATTGTCTTGGGCACCAAAATTTATTATTCAAGAGGAATACATTTTTCACTATTGTTAGGATTTTGGAATTGAATAAAGTGACAATAAAATAACCCATTAAAAAGAAAAAAAAAGATCAGAAAAAGGCCTTGCTTTTTTTTCCCCTCAGATTAGCAGGTGACTGACCTCTACAAGAGGGCCTTTTCCCCTGAGAACTCCTCCTATTCTTGTTCCCCAGGACTAGGGCTGCCAAATAAAATATAAGGCACCTAGTTAAATTAGAATTTCAGATCAACGAGAAATGCTTTTTGTAGTAGAAGTATATCCAAAAATTATGGGATGCACTTATAGTAAGAAAAATCATTTGCCATTTATCTACAATTCATATGTAACTGAATAGTCTGTATTTTCATTTTATTTGCTAAACATTTGCTAAATCTGGCATCTCTATCCAGGGGAAAGTCTTATCTTTTTAAAAGTTTGTCAGCCCAACCAATACATCCAGTGTCGTATGCCATATTTGCTCTCAAAAGCCCCAGCAGTTTGCTTTAGGTAGGGTTCCTACCAAAATAGATCTTGTTGGCACAGGGGTTGTATTTGTAGGCTTTGGCTCTGACTAAAAAATAAAAAATCCCCACCAGGCATCCTTGGCTCTCTTGCTCCCCATTCTCTGCCATGTATCTCAACACTGGACACAGAGAGCCTGAGGTGCCTTCAGCTGCTCCTGAAACAGTGCCCTTCAGACCTCAGCTGGCCTTCAAGGACATGAACAAGTTTGGAGCCTTCTGCTGGTTCATTTTTAATTTTCGCCTCTGAGCATGGCAGAAGGCCAGGAAAGCACTCAGAGGAGCTTCCCTCAAATGTCCTTGCAGACCTTGCAAAATGAGGATCCACTCTCCATCAGATGACACCATAGGGAGGTGGGGCCAGCCAGACTGGCAGGATGCAATAGCTTGATCATTTAGGCCCAACTCTCAGGGGCCACTGTGTAAATAAAAGTTATGGTTTAGGGGCTGGGAGCTTCTCTAGGAAGGGGAAGTGTGAAGGGAATATGGCTCTACAACCCTTCCTCTGCTATGCTATCACAGGCGTCTTCCTTCCTGAGCTTGAACTAACAAGCACTAAAAATGCCTGGAAGAGGGGAGAGGGAGTCATTTCTAGAGGAGATACTACGTAGAAGTTCACAGGACCATTTATTAGGTCTAATCAAGTATTTACTCTTAAAAGCTTTGCTAGGGGAAAGAAATATGAAGTTTCATGCTCTGGAAATGGATTTGGGGGAAAGGTCCCATTGGACCTGAACAACAGGTACGCTCCCACCTCTTGGCTGCGTACTGCAACAGCAATTAGGGAATTTTAACTCTCTCTGTTGGCTAGCTCCCAGTAGGGTCTCTATCTGTGCTCACCTCAGCACACTGAATTACTTCTGTGACAGCTGATTCCAAGCCCTAGTCTGCCTTTCCTATTTTAAAATGGCAGATTCTTAAAGTGCTGTGGCACAGCATCATCCAAAAAGGTGCTACTTTAATGATGGCCAGAGTGGGCAGTACTGAATAACCATAACCCCAAACCTACTGGGGTAGCAGATCCTATTACCACCGTCCACTGCCAATCATGAAATGCTTTGGGAGATGGAAAAGAGTAGCTAAAGAAAAAAATACCTGAAAGTATCTTGGGTGATGGAAGGGAGTACAGAATTGGATATTGGACAGGCAACATGCCTCCAAACTCAGAGACATAAAAAAGTGAATACCCTCAAAGCAAAGAATATGTTGTTTTTACCTGAATGATTCCATCATCCTGAGTCCCCCAGCCCATTCCGTTCAAGGGACCAGTGAAGATTTTACTTCCCTTTGTTCAAAATGAAGGAAACACATTCTGCTAATGACCAAGTCTGTCTTATGAGTAGTGAGACATATTGCTCTGGTTCAGGTCTTCATGCCGCAATGAGTGATTGAACCACTCTGGTTAGATCCATGCTATAACTTGTGTCCTAGAAAGTTAAGGTCTCCCAATGTGCCCAAAATATGTCTAAGAAATGAGGCAATAACTTGAGTGTCAGAAAAATATGATCTGAATTTTAACCTTATTTCCAGGTGAGGATAAAGGAGGATATGGAAAAGCTACCTTTCCTACCCTCCAGTCCAAAGCTAGATAGGAAACCAGGAAGAGCATGCTAGGCTCTGGGGCTGGGAATGGCATGGAACCTTAGGTTTGGGGGCACCCATATGTTTGGAGGAAAGAGTGCTAACTTGAGGACAAAAGGTCCTGATTTCTGGGTGGGCTCTCATCCAGTGGTGTGACTGTGCAGTCAACTCTCTGTGCCTTAGTTTTCTTTGTAAGAGGGTTCAGGCCATTTCTCCACTCATTCTCACATGAGGATAGGACGAAGTGATAGACTAGAAAGTACCTGGAAGAGAATAAAGTAATATATGCATCTGTATATATACATCACATGGGTTTTCTTTGTTTAAAAGTGAGGATTCAGTGTTATAATTTATTTAAACCTCTCTCCTGGACCCACTGATCAGAAAAAAAAAAAAAACAGCTCTGAGAAAAAGATGGACAAGGAAACACTGTCAAGGCTCCAAATGCTCATGATACTTTCTAGTTGGGCTCTACATTTTGGTTGTCTGCAAGCAGAGACTAAATTTGAGAAGAGACATAGGCTTAGGATCTACATAAGAGATTCTGCAGTGATGGGCACTGATGGGGGCACTTGGCAGGATGAACATGGGGTGTTATGCTATATGTTGGCAAACTGAACTCCAATAAAAAAATTTAAAAAAAGAGATTCTGCAGAAGATCTTCATTAATTAATTCTTTTCTTGGATTTAAATAGCTTCTTTTCTCTAAAGAAGTACAAAGAACTAAGTCTATATATCCTCAAAACCAGAGGAGAGGAATTAGATCAACCCTCAGAAAGAGGTGGTATCTATTCCCCAAAGTGCTAAGGGTCCATGACGCATGGAGATCAGAGCACACAGAGGGCAAGGGGGGGCAGTGATGAGGATTTAAAGAGGAATCGCCTCACATCTCCATCCTTTGTTCTGTTACATTCATCTCTCTTTCTCTCTCTCATGTCTCTGGTCTTAGCAACTATTGGCTCATGGCCAATAGTCCAATCCCACAAATAAACGTTGCCTGATGCTATCTGATATAAATGAGGGAAGAAAAGGCCAGTGCGTGTCTCAGCACTGTTCCCTCTGGTATTATCTTATACCAAAGCACAGAGAAAGCTCTATGATTCGGAGAATGATCCAAACAGAAGCCCGTCCAGGAGGCACTCTTTCCCCAAACTCCAGGCATCACAGATTCATTCACAAATTGGAGGAATGGTTCAGAAAGACATGGAGAATGCCATACTGGTTCATGCACATGGTCCCTCCTGGCTTTGGTCTCTTAGGCTGGAATCACAGGAGGACAGAGGCTAGTCACCCCCACTGTCCCTGACCGGCTTTGGATAAACAGGAATGGATCAGTCATCATCTGCGATTTTACCTGGAGTCTTCATGAACTGCTTCTTCTGGCCTGTCAAAAAGCAAGTGCAGGTTTGGATGGCGGGGAACAAAGTTGACGAGGAGGCTGAACACTGCATGAAGAGAGGACCAAGCCAATGAGAGAGCAACAGCAGCAACAGAAAACCAAACAAACCCTGCAACAGACCTGATGGGGGATGAGTCGCTGGACGTGGATGAGGTGGGCATAGGGCTGGATGGCGCCGAGAACATGGGCCAAGATGGCGAGAGGGGTGAAGTTGGGCTTGGATTCGGGGGGCTGCAAGACAGAACAATCAGAAAACTTGTCAGCACACAGGGAAACCACAATGGGAGCACGAGGTTCATGGGAGGCCAAATGATGGGGAGCTGGAGCAGACGAGGAGCACCAAAATCCAGGCTGTGTCGTCAATCTCAAATCATATTTCTCCAGACCAGACCTTGGTGTCTTCCAAGTAGCACCTGTTCTGCAATTCCTTGGAGCATTGAGGAGTCGCTTTGCCCTGCAGAACAGCTGCTTTCTAGGTCATGGGAGCTTCTTCGATGGTGTCCTCTGTGTCCTTGCCCACTGGTGAAAGATGCCCTGGGCCCACATACATGCATTCTCACTCATATCCTAGCACCAGACATCTGGGACAGGGCTGGCTTCTATGAGGCCTTCAGCTTCCACTGCTGTGTGAGTGTTTTTAAAGTTGTGTCTCAGCAAAAATGACCATTTTTTCTGGGCCACATGGGCCATTCAGCCAGAAAACAATTTCCTGTTTACATTTTTAACTAAATGGGCTGGGTGCCATTGGAGACTCAGAGAAGCACTGCATCAGAAATAGGATAGTGGATGGAGGATGGGTCTGGACATACACCTCTCAGGAGAGGGCACGCAATTACCAGCAGCACTGCGGTTCCTCTGAGATTTGCTTTCTAGGCCTGCCTTCTCCCTTTTCATGGATTTTGGGCATTTTGATGCTCTAAGAAAAAGCCCCAGAGGGAAGGCAATGCAGAAATGAGGAACTGAAATCTTAAATCTGTCATTTTGTTGTTTGATGGCTGGTTGATCAAAAGTTTGGAGAGGAAAGGTTCAAATTACTCACTAAAACACCGCTTGTGATTCTTAACTGGTCACACCAGCCCTTTGACTTATTGCTACAAATTATACAAACAAACATCTTAGCAACTCCATAAAACCACATTAAATCACGGATAGTGCAAAGACCAGTGACTGAGAAACCAATGTGGGAATCACCCAGCCACAATACCACCTGTAGTCCTGAGCCTCAGCTGACTGTTGAATGTTTGATCCAAGCACTTTATAGAGGTGAAAATGACAGCAATCCAATTCCAGTGAAACAGACTTTCTAAACATAGTGGGATTTAGCAAGAATGCATAAATGTCTTACTTAATGGGCCATTCTCAATTCAGACGTGAAACCTCAAAATGGTCCTAATTACCTATGGTTGTAACATGCATTCTCATGGAAATATACAGTAAAAACCCATTACATGAGTTCACCAGAAATCCACAGACTAAGTGAATGAAACCCCTTCTTAATGCCATTATGTACAGTACATTTCTAGGATATGAATTCTACAAGGCCAGGAATTTTGTCCATTTTGTTTACTGATCTGTCTCCACTGCCTAAAATAGTGTCTGTTAAGTATTCATGAAATAACTGAGTGACTAAAGTAATAACTCTCATTTAACTTACCCAACAAGCCAAGAGACACAATACGATTCCTATTTCACAGATGTGGAAACCCGGGGCCAATTTGAGGCTTGCCTGTAAGTGACAGGGCTGAGATTCAGACCCGGTCCCCTGGCTCTATGCCCTGGGCTCTGGCCACCGAAGTGTACTGCCTCTGGGGTAGCAGGACTTGCTCTGTTCCTTTATGTTGTGCCAAGCTTCTTTATAGATCCGACATAGCACAAGAAGCCTTCTTAACCACTGATTTATGAGTTTCCTTTAGATGCCTACCACATTTGCAAAGGAGAATGGGAACAGAGCAACAGACAGATTCAATAAGACTCAACACACTGTAAATTCCCCAATCCTGCCTCCGGTCTTCTCTCTGGTAGATTCACATAGCAGATGGAATTCATATAATACAGGAGATTAAACTTGAAGAATATGGCTTTTTTTCTCAAATAATCCAGCAAAGGCAAGTAACTGAACACACAGCATGATCAAACATAATAAATGGAATAAATTTAGCATTTGCCAAAGTTCCTAACTTCAAGAATTTCCAATGTATTCGACAAGAACAGACGAAAAAACAACTATAACGTAAGAACAGTAAGGTTTGTCAGCTGAGGGAGGAGTTACTCTCTTATTAGCTTAATAGCTGCTCACACTTGACTCTGCCTTGAGTTCTGGGAGAAAGTGCTGCCTCATTTTGACTGTGCAGGCCTCACTTTCTTCTGTAGCTGCAGCTGGTGAGCAAGATCTTGCTTTCTGAGGCCTCTCCCCACAACCCACCCCCCTCTGATAATGACTAGTAAACAAGGCCTGGCCATGACTTCCAAACTGCAACCCAGCCCAGGAACCCAAGCTCTGACCAGGGACAATTTGCAAGTTCAAGAGGGCAAGCAGCCCAGGCCAAGAGGCCTGAACTCATCTGTTCCTCTGGTCAGTGGTCAACACGGGACAATTAAAAAGTCCTTAGGACTTTTTGTTTGTTTGTTTTCTTTTTTTCTTTCTAGTGGCTTTTGTAAGTAGGAAATATCTCTAGCTTCCTATCTCATTTGTACAAGAATTATGCCTTTCGCTAAAGGCATAGTTGGGGACATACTCTATGAACACAATGTGGGTTCTGAATGTTTTTTCACATCCTTGTATATCTAAGTGGTTCTTGGCCCTAGTACATGGCTGAAATTATCTGGGGGTGCGGCTGGAATTCCAGGGTATTTGAAACCATTTTAAGAACTTACTCTTCAATCTCCATGTCAATTACTGTAGTACTGACTGTCATTTTTAACAACTAATAGAATTATATTTGTTTGCTTGTGTTTTACTCATAGCAATAACATTTATTTGCTATACAATGACCACAATTTAAAATTTACGACTACTACATTTTAGTGTAACAATGAAATGCACACTCCATAGTAGTTTGATTTTTTTTTAAACTACTGATGGAATTATGCTTTTTATTCATCTGTGCTTCAGAATCATGTCAATAAAACTCATGATCAATGACACTATGGAACATTTTTATTCACTTAATGGTGGATGTCTATAGCAAAAGAAATTGACAATAATATATAAATATTCCCCCAAGAAGCAAGGAATACATTTTATTTTAGTTGTGATACAAGTCAGAGAACTTATAGAGGGGAAATAAGATGCACAGGGATGATGGCAATGGGTAAGACCATAATCTTTCATTCCCCTTCACTTCCGAAGTGTCTGGTTATAGCTTACTTAAAAATCGACCACAGTGTACAACAAAATCTTACCTCTAAAAATCCTAAAACAAAGCACACAAACAACAAAAGGTCAGTTTTGCTACTGACTCTAAGCTTCCATCAAATCCTCACTTTCCCTACTGAGGCCAAAGATAACAAGGGACTGAGGTTAGGATAGGAGAAAATAATTTTGTGACTACAGTCTTAGCAGAGGACCCCTTATGGCCTTTCTACCATCCTCACAGTCAAGCCTGAGTACCTGAGCTGAATGCCCTGCACATTTTTCACTCCTGGGATTCTACATGGGCACCTCCTCCTCCTCCCCCTCACATCCCCCCCACTTTAAGGCCCAACTATAGAGACAACAAGAGCTTAAACTTTAGCACGGAATGAACATTGGCTGGTCTAGTTTGGATTCAACTGGTAGGCTTAGATCAGCTTTAGTTTGCTGGTCCACAGTGTCCTCAAAAGGAGTCATACAGTTCCAGTCAGTCCCGTTGACATTCACTGGACAGTGAAGAAAGAATGGTTTAGGAAGATAAGGCTGAAAGGTTTGGCAGCATGTTGGGTTGTGGCTGATAGTTCAAGCAGAGCGTGTGGCATTATCATCAGCTTGACACCCTTCTGTGGTGACTCACTTGAATGATGGAACGTCTGGTGTACCAGCCAGGGCACAACTGCCTTACTATGGACAGGGATGCCCCAGCAGGCTCTCAATCTCATCGTGTTATGTGGCCGACCCAGGTCAGTCTTTTTTTTTTTTTTCCCCACTTACTAAAGCATTTTTCGAATGTCATCAAATAGCCTTGGCTATCATATTCTTAAAATGGCTACGGGGTATTCTATCATATAGTATATATCCTGATTTGTGCAACCTTTCTCCTACTGTGTATATTCAAATTATTATCCCTCTCTAAGTATTATAAATAATGGTGTAACTTGTATCCTTATTGAGGATCATTGGACTGTATTTGTTTCCTTAGCATAAATTCTTGAAGTTAAATTAATGGATCAAAGGCTAGAAGTCTTTTTTAAGGGTCTTGATACAACCTAGCAAATAGTTTTGCAGAAAGGTTCTGCTGAACTGCATTCCCAGCAACAAGGCATGGAGACTATCCCTTCCCTCTTACTGCCACCCCAACAGCAGGAAGCATCAAAAAAAAAAAAGAAAAAAAAAAGACTTTTTTTTTTTTTTTTTGAGTTGGGAAAGATTACCTTGGGCTCTACTCTTTCCTAGCAGTTCCAGTGACATAAAAATGAATACAATTCTCTTCTCTCATTCTGTTTCTACCTGGAAGCAATGTTTAATTTTCCAAAGGGCATTCTGCCAAGAAAGTAGTATAGGGAAGGGCACAAGCAAATAGACAATGTCAACCTGGAGAGTTCGAGCCCTGGTCAAATGGTGTGGCTGATCCAAGAGACAGTGGGAGTGGCGGATGGTCAGCCTATCTGGGACTGTCAGAGGACTAAACAGGAGGGATGAGGTACACAGGAGTGTCCAGACAGTCTTCTATCAGGTGTGTACTATGGAGAAGTAAAAAAACTGGCATTTGCTCCTCTCTGCCAGGAACTGGACTGTGATCTACAGCCCAGGTTCCCAGTCATGTATGTCAGGCCTGGGGAAGGCTGGTGAGATCACTAGCCCAGGGCTGACCTGAAAACACCATCAGTCTTCCCATCTCAATTAGGTCCTAATAGGAAGGTGCTGTTAAATCCAAGGGGGACTGCTTGTCTCCCCACTCCTTTTCCTCCTATAACAAGAGAGAAGAGAAAATTCCACGAGAACCAATAAAATCCTACTTAATCTAATCCCAATCAGTGAGTTCTTCTTCCTTGGAAAATATTCCTTTAGGTCTTGATTTAAAGGCATAAAAAAAAAA